TACACGGAAATAGTACTTTATTTTTAAAATCGTTGGTCTTGGTAACTGCAAACAGTAAATGCTTTGGGCAACATTTTTAATTATTTGCGTGAATATAGTTGTAATTATGGTTTAATGTCATTATAGTGTTCTTAAGGGGGAAACACTGGATGGTTCCCACCAACAGCCCCGAAACTGATACTTGCCAAAGGAGAGTCTTCACTGTTTTAAAACTGAGAAGAAAATATTTAAATTCCATGGCACACAGTAACCGCTACCAACATATTTTCTTCGCTTTACAAGGAGAGGTATGTTAACAGTATCGTCCTATTTGTGCGCCTGTATCAGTAATGTGCTTAAAGTAAATGACGGATTTTCAAGGCATTTGTTGATAACTTGCTGGCTGCAGAAAACTCACCCTCCCAGGTCTTAATTTCCTGCCATCAATAACGCTAACATGGAGTTCATACGAACAGCTTATGTAAGGCTGACACTAGCGGAAATGATGTTGGGTTTCCGAAAATTAGTTTACGAAAAATTACATATTCACATGATTGACTATAAGCTGGGTTTGGATTGTTAACTGGATTTGACTCTTACAGATCGTAACTACAAGCAACTATAACCGTCTCACTAATTCAAAGTAAAGTCAAAGCTTTGTTACGATCGACGGTCAGTCGGACAGTCTGTGTCGGCGTCAAGCACCGATCTGGGGCCAAAGACTAGATTTTATTTGCCAGACAGCTGCGGGTTTTTGATGTTGGGTGCCCTCTCTGACGAGAGGATGTGTCTGTCATACACAACTGCTGTTGGCCCTCGGGTCTGAGTCCTGAGAGACTCATGACCATATTTTACTGTCTCAGATTCGAGACTCCACCAACTTAGAGGGCCTGGTCTCTGTATTTATATCCCCCAGGAACAGAAACAGCATATATTGTGCCGTAGCCTAGTAACGGACGTCTTTTCTGATTATCTACTTCGGCTTTCAGCGGACATGACACAATATAATAGTTTTTTTTTCTGAACGCCCAAATGGCTCCCGAGGCTTATTAATAATTTAATGGTGACTGAAATATTCGAACGCAGTTCTTCTGAGGATAAATTCGATTAGAAGTACATTTGTAAAACAAATCCTCCTGTGACTCGGTTGGAACAATAAACCTTGAACAGCAGCGAGAGTTTTATGAAGCAAGGATAGGAGGTAGCAAGAGAATATGTTATATTGTGGGGGAGAAGGCTGGGTAGCATGTGAAATCAAGTGGAAAATGAAAGAAACAATTTAAACAATAGGAAACACTGACAAATGGATATTGGTAAGCATACTGAAATAACTGGATAATATTCGAGAACAAGAACAACTAGCATACAATATAAAACACCGGGAAGGAAATATAAACAACAACATTTCTGAAGACACATTTGATGCTGAAACAGCAAAGAGAACTGCCCCACCAGTAAAAATAATTTCAGTATTTTTCAATGATTTTCCAACTGTTTTGGAACTAACTTCCTTTCTTTGCATTTATACTGAGTTTTAGATCTCAAATCTATCTCCGCGTTCACTAAAAGTCGTGAGGGACATGTGAATGTATAGGAATTATTATTCTGTGTATGTTATCAAATCACGAACAAGTAATTACTTAGATATTCAGGGTAATGTAAACACATAGCTCTGTTTACATTGTGTCAACATTACTTGCATTATACCACAGGTCTTGACAGCGTACTGCTCCATTAAGCAAAAGGGAAACTGTAAACTTGAAAGATTTGGCCTAATTTCATTATATATTTCATTTTCGCATGATTGGTATATGCTTACTCCAACTGTTGACCTCGTTTCACTACTATGACTTCTCTCAGTTATTGACTGTACATAGGGTCAGTGATGTTAGGCAGATAGAAATACACACAGCTGAGCCGTTAGTACCTGATCCTAGACCTTCTGAGTTTTAAACTGTTTTTGCAAAATTGAAAAGGTATAAATCGCTAGGCAGTAATCAAATTCCGGCAGAACTCATTCAAGCAGGAGGTTAAATATTAAGTTCTAAGATGAATAAGCTAATTAATCCTATTTGGAATAAGGAAAAATTCGGTGGAAGGAGTCTATTATTGTACCAGTTCACATGAAGAGTGATGAAATTGACTGTAGTTAACTATCGGGGGATATCACTGATATCAACTTCATACAACATTTTATCAAATATTCTTCTCTCAAGGTTAAGCCCGTACTTAGATGAAATTATTGGGGATCATCTGCGGGGGTTTAGTCGTAAAAGATCAACTACTGATCAGATCTTTTTATTCGTCAGATACTGGAGAAAAAATGGGAGTACAATGAGACAGTACATCAGCTATTCGTGGATTTCAAGAAAACCTATGATTCAATTAAGAGGTAAGTATTGTAAAATATTCTGATAGAGTTTCGGGTACCCATGAAACTAGTTAGGTTGATTAAAATGTGTTTAAATGAAACGTATATTCAAGTCCGTATAGATCAACATTTGCCTCATATTTTCCTATCCAGAATGGTCTAAAACAAATAGATGTTTTAGGGCCATTGCTTTTCAAATTTGTTTCGGAATATGTCACTAGAAAGGTCCAGGGAAACCAGGTGGGACTGAAATTCAATGGCACACATCAGCTGCTGGTGACTTGAAACTATTGGGAGAAGACATACTGGATAACATAAAGGAAAACACCAAAACTTGAACTGACGCTAGTAGGAGGTTGGTCTAGAAGTAAACACATAGAACACTATGCATATGTTGCTGTCTCGCCACCAAAATGCAGGACAAAATCATGACATAAAGATAGGTAACAGATGTTTTGAAAATTTGGCACAGTTCAGATATTTTGGAACGACGATAACAAATCAAAACCTGATTCAGAAGGAAACTAAGAGGAGATTGAACTCGGGTAAAGCTTGCTACAATTCAGTCCAGAAACTTTCGTCTTCTCGTCTGCTGTCCAAAAACATTAAAAATTAGAATACACAAAACAATAATTTTGCCTGTGGCTCTGTATGGGTGTGAAACTTGGTCTCCGGCATTAAGGGAGGAGCCTAGGCTGAGGGTGTAAGAGAACAGGGTGTTGAGGAAAATATTTGGACCGAAGAGGGATGAAGTGACAGGAGGTTGGAGAAAACTTCATAATGAGGAGCTTCATAACTTGTACTCTTCTCCATGTATAATTAGAATGATCAAGGGAAGGAGGATGAGATAGGCAAGGCATGTAGCGCGAATGGGGGAGAAGAGGACTGCATACAAGATATTGGTGGGAAAGCCAGAAGGAAAGTAACCACTGAGAAGACCAAGGCGTAGATGGATGGACAATATTTGGATGAATCTAAAGAGATAGGATGGATTGGATTGATCTGGCTCATGATATGGACCAGTGGAGGGCTCTTCTGAATACGGTAATGAACCTTCGGGTTCCATAAAATGCTGAGAAGTTCCTGACTAGCTGCACAACTGACGGCTTCTCAAGAAGGTTCTGAGTGACTGAGTGAGGGAGTGACTATGATGGCTGGTATTGAAGGCGACACTGCTGATCAAGCTAGTACCACGTGTAGGTGACCTTGTGCTGTTTTCGCCAGTTCAAACGTGCCTTACCACTTTGACTGAGACTCCAAGTTTCAGGACACATGCATTAACACACGCACCCTCAGATCATGCGCATTGCAGTGTTACATTTAAGCCTTCAGGAGGTCAAAATTAGTATTAAGTTGCTGTATTTAATAATATGACTTACCGTGTTTCTGCGAGTGGTGTGATACCTGCTCCCTGTTGGCATATCCACTACATAGCTCGTAAGAAGTTATCTTCAAAGCAATCCTAAACTTCGTTGCGATTTAGCTTACACGAGAGTAACTTCCATACAAACACTTGATTTTACAAAATTACTGAACCCTTACTATGTTCATACATTAGTATCAATACGACGCACAAAGAACACTGCAACTTATAACAACAAACTTCACCACACACAAACAGCCACATGGCAAGAAATCTGCTGACATACGCGTTACTATCTTCTTGCTCACGTTCAGTGTTACCAACACATGCACCCTCACTAACAAAACACGCTGGCAATTACATGCGTGCCACACTATACAGCAAGGTAAAAGGAGGCACTATATATTAACGGTTGCGAACAGTCATTTCATTATGAAACGGACCAGAAATATATGTGAAGGAGAATATTTCGATTATAAAAAGGAATTTTAGGGAACAGGATATGGCGAAGTGGCTTGGTTGGCACGCGCTTTTTGCATTATATAAATACACATATTTGAGGGCGTGGCCGTCCGTCTATGCGCATATTTAATCTCTTTAACTAATATAAATCAGTCTATTATAAAGGTCGTGCGATGTAAGGCGCATAATGTCATTGGTTCGAAACCCACTTTTAACATGGATAATTCTGTACCAAAGAAAATTCGCTTAGTGGAGTGTGGAGTCCGACTGGGTCCACTAGGCACGGCGGCCATTGGTTGGCCTATTGAAGCCTGCCACGGGTGATTATGATGATGGAGAATTTGATGGAATGAAGTTTGGCAGAGGAAACCGAAGTACTCGGAGAAAACCCGTCCCAGCGCCACTTTGTCCACCACAAATCCCACTTGACCAGACCCGGGATCGAACCCGGGCCGCCGCGGTGGGAAGCCTGCGACTAACCGCTTGAGTTACGACGTGGCCTCATATTCCTGTACTACCGTTTATACATGTGTTGCCCTGTGTATGTATAAGCCTTGCTATGCGCCCATCTCCTGTTCAGGGACACCTGCCAGACGTCTACGAAGGTTTCATAGTTTCAGAAAGTAATTTATAACTGGATAGGAGGTTGGGTGGGCCCCAGAACCGGTATGGACGACGTGTAGAAGGGAAAATTCTTTACCCTACTGGGACTCACACTCCGACCCCTCGGGGCGGTGACTATGAAATCTGCCCACAATTCGGAGAAATGAACTGCGTCCACCCATAAGGTCGAAGGTAAGTGGAAAAATTAAATAAAAATCGGAATATTTGCTTCTTCCTTGACTTCTTTACTATTTTATCCTGAAAAAGGAGGCAGTACATTCCTTCGAAACATCAGTACACGCCTACCAGACAATGCTGTCAAACATTACAGAAGACATTGCTTTCAACATTTAAGTTCTCCGAACAACTATGGTTTTCTGTAGCATTCAGGGCTACGAAATGTATATTTATTAAATAATTCAACTATAATTGCTTTATTGATAATCAATAATAATACATATGCTTTTAATGGTGTACATACTAAGTACTGTATCACACTAAGTAACAATATTTATTCCCTTAGCCAACAAAACATGTTTACCAGCACCTTTTGCTGACATTCGGCAGCGATATATTTTCATAAATACTGTATATTAACTAAATTGCTAAGTATTTTATTTAAGAAGATTACAGTATTGAAATAATTAACTCCTGCTTAAAATCAGTTACTAAATATGCAATTTCACTGAATGTTGCATAAGTAGCAGGCTGCGGTATTATCAGTGTTTACAACGGAGATTTAGTAAACCAAGTTCCTTGCAAATTAATTCGTGTTTTTGTTTTTTTATTATTATTCTAAGTGGAGATTATTATAAATGGAGTTCCATAAAGACAAGCGCCGCAGTTTCTCTCCAGTTTCTTCCTTTCTTCACCGAAATATAAATTTAGCCTCTTCTGGTTTGGTCCAAATATATACCAGTGCGCCTCGGTTCGTAAGTATATTTAACCTTGACTGGCTAGATATATCTTGGTATGGTAATCCGGGTTAGTAAGATCAGTGGTACAAGCCAAAACGGGGTGCAAGTCCTGGTCCTCTAAGTTGTTAATTAATAACTTAACAAATATATTTTCTTATGTGATTTAAACCTGCTATATTCCTTTAAAAATGGAAACTAAGAACTTCAATATGAAAAACTGTCAAGCTGAAAGCGATCTTTGATAAGGTAAATATGTGCCTTTACTAAATATCACCACCAACGCCATGGAATATCTAGAAAATGGTGATAAGGGCGAAGACGCCGTAGAGCAGGGCGCATGGATAGGCCACCAGTGGCTGCTGGTGATCCATGAACAGGGCTGTAACGAACAGCTTGGAAGCTGACAGGCTGCACCAGGCAATAGCCAGACCAGTCAACACGAACCCCGTGAGGCCCCTGTAACACACAGATCAGCAAAATTAACGCTACACACATAAACTAAACTCATAATATAACATCACCGACAGTTTATTCTCATGACAATGGCGGAAGATGTGGAATTTATGTTATAAAAATTAGTCTTAGACAGAAGAACTAAAGTTAACATACATAAAAATATCACTACAGTAAATTAAGTTCAAATAAACGTATTTTATGAATGCTAAAATTACACGTCAAAATCCAACTGAATGACGTATCAGAATGAAGATGATTGTTGACTTCATCCCACTTAATGACGCGTCATCACATACTTAGTAACAGGTAGAGTCGAATGGATAATCTGTGAATAATTGGAAAGGATCTAAAAGAAAGTGGTTAATAAATTAATATATTAACTGAAGTTATGATTATTACATGATTGACATAGATATTCAATTTTTGGTCTTCAGCTATCGTATGCATCCGACATTTGAATTAACTAATTATCTGGTATTCTGGTAGCAGAAACCGAGAATCGAACACCGGTAATAACAAATCAATAATGATGAGACACTTCCATGTACCTCACATCTACATAACTGGAGAAAATTAAATCCATAAGAGATATGAACACCGAATCTCCATAGGCGCCATCTTGGTACTGCCCTGCCATCTCTGGTATCCTTTCAAAATTTGTTTCTATATAGTGTACGTGTGCCAATTGTCGCTTTATGCGATACATCTTGCGTGCTCTTCAAATCTAGAATTAAATGTTCCTTCAGTCCACACTGCGACAGGTTCCAAATTCAGTTTATATATATATTCATTCATTCATTCATCAGTAATCTGTCAGTAATCTGTANTATATCAAAAGTGTAAGTTAAAGTATGCCCTGTGCTTAACTAATTAAGCATTATGCCATGAAAGCGTATGGGGGAGTGGATGTATAGACCTATATTTTCTCGACCTCGGCACTAGTTGGAAGTGAGTGGTCAGCTTCACGCCCTGCCCGCTTTCCCCCCGGGAAAGATTCCCCAGTACCCATTCGAGAGGAAGTTGGGTGAGCCCCATGACCGGTCTGGACAACGTGGAGAAGAGAATATTTTTTATCCTACCGGGACTCGAACATCGACCTCTCGGTCGTCCAGCCTGCAAGCCAGTCGCTATACCGACTGCGCTATCCCGGCTCAAGTATCGATCTGATTTAATACTTCTTCAGTTTTCGGATATGTTTTTCAAAACACATAAAGGTTTCCTCCCTTTGAAACAATGTTCCGCAAAAGATAATTGAACTATATTGGAAGGTATCAAATAATGTTTTTTTTTCCTCACATGGATTAGGCCTCCTGACCTGCGCAGAACATAGATAATCAGAAGCTATGAATCCTTACCCGCATTGTAGTATTCTGTCGACGATAAGTCTTAACATTTTGCTACGTTACAAACGAAACTAACGGAAATACAAACGACAAACGCTACTTACTGGAGAGACAACACAACGTTGATGCCCGAGAGGATGACCATTGGCAGCAGACAGTAGCCCAGCACAGATACCACGGTCCCCAGAGTGACAGCCGACACCGCCATTAAACTCAGCAGAGCGTAGATGCCCAGACAGCCCATCACTCCGATCCCATAGATGTAGCCGAAGTGAACCTTTCCAGACTGCAAAATACAGGTAAATCCGATTGGCACTGATTACCCAGAAATGCTGACAGTGAGTACACAGAACATGCATGTTATTCACTGCGGTCGTACTATTTCATTTTATTGCCATCAACAAGGATTAAGACCTGGCTCAGTTAACAACGGTACCTTCCATGAATAAACTATCTGCTGGGTTGAAAAGCCGTGAAGTTCTGTTGAAATCCACTGACGTTTCGGAGAAACGTATCGCTTAAATCGTCAGTATCGAAAAGTAAGCCAAGTAAGAAACCAGCAACAAGCCGGCAAACAGAGCTCTGCATTCTTGCTTAGCTTTCTCCCTAACCTTAAAATTTGAGACGATACTTTCCTCCGAAACGTCGGTAAACTTCTGTCGAACTGCACGGCTTTACTACCTAGCGCATCATGTTTCTTATAATCACCGCTCTGAAAATCTAAAATCCAACTCTTTCTTCCATGTTTTATTGTCGGAGCCCCGAGGCATCTTCTACTGTTTTCACAGAAGATATTACAACCGCAGTTCAAATTAACAAGAGCGTTGATCCATAGTGTTACTCATTCAAACCACAGTCATAGGAATGCACTTCAAAAGTAGCCCCCCCCTCCCCCTGTCTAAGCACCATGGCACGAAGACAGAGCTACTAGGATTCCCCCTCTTCACTAGTCGTGTCCTGGTAACGGATCTGAACACACGACCTAGTACTTCAAAACACTATGAAGTGTTCTTGCTATTTCGTCTTCAATCACTCTGGAACCCTGGAACTAAAATTCCTGGACTGACTCCTCCAGCTTACGACTGACTCGTAACTGCACTGAACTGAACTTGCTTCTGCATTCACTTCTCTTATTAGCACTCTGCACAGACCCTTCGGAAAATACCGTCTCTGTTGTTGATGACGTCACCGTTTTCATAGCACGATCCGATACGCTGAAATGTGTTTACTGACCCCGTATCCTATTGCTGTACAGACTGAGCTATCCCAAGCCCATATATTTAAGGTACATTTAGTAAGCTGTAACTCAGGGGAGACAGAATCTCACTGAAAATAATTAATGTCAGTATTAATGTTATAAGTCTGTCCATGGCTGACTTCTTCTGAATCATTAAAATTCAGAGTGCTTTATAACAGAATTCTCTAAAATTCTTCGTAATGTAAAACATCACGTTATTTCATCTTTGTTTTATAAAATGAGAGACGGCTGCCTTAAGGTCGTCAGTGAATGTGATTACACAGAATTAAATTACATTATGTAGGCGATGCAGTTACTTACTGCCTTCTCACTTGAGGGGTTTGAAATAGATTCTGAAACAATTCATGTGGAACTGCTGGCATTTGACTATAGTTAAATACATAGGTTTTACCTAACGGATTGTGTACATCTCATTTCCCTTGCAAGGAACTTCAAAGCGCCATGTACACTTTCTCAAGCGAATATTTCATGGTGTTATCCCAGATGTGGTCATATTGCTGGTACGCAAATAACAGGAGTAATAAAATGAGAGTTACGATATTAAATTATTCCGTGTAGAAGTGTCTTCGTTGAAAAACTCACAGTCGCTCAGTCAGTATAGAAATGTTCCGCCTTTTACGAAACCCGAATGCTCAGTGCCGTTTTCATAAGAACCCGGTACTGGTCTCTACAATGAGCCACCTGTGTCCATTGCACACCTGTGTATCCTATTTCTTTCTTATATTTTTTTTAATAGTATCCTTGCGTTATCGTATAAGTGCTCCGAGTTGTCTCTT